AAATTGATAAAATATGAGAAATAGGTTTTATATTTAGGACCAAAATCAACTCAAGAATTGGGTCCTATATTAAGAATGGGAGAAGTATTATTATTTTTCCTATAATCATTCAATTTCCCAACAAAATTGTTGCGGATGCGTATTATTAAGATTTGAGCACCGGGAAATGAGACACGTGTTTGACTTAAAAAGTATTCTAAAAATCTTCAAAAGAGGACCACATGCTCTCAACCACGTGTGTCTTTCTGCTTTCATATATTTATCCAATATAATATATATATTAATACTTGTCCAATTATGCAACGACATCACCTTTTGCCATTTGGTGGCTCCTGTCTTTTTTATTTGATTTCTTATTCTTCTTCTTCTCATTTTTTTTAATTTTAATTAGTGATTTTAAAATTCTAAATATATTCTCTCTTGATTCTTTTCAGAAACAAAATGATTATGGTGTAAGAAAGACCAATTAATTGGAAGATATGAGCCGAATAAAATAAATATTATGAGTTGTCTAGTTATGTATATAAATTTCAAGAGTAGAATTAAAGGAAGGATAACAATTATTCAGTTATATTAAAAATTATTCAGCACCAATGGTAAATGAAATGAGCGAGATAATCTCAAGTTCTCTGAATAAAGTTAATGATTTCAATCTTATAGATATAATTTTTTAACCCAATAATAATGCGTATTAGATTTTTATAATTTTTGTCACATTTTATATACTCTTCCGGTCCTTAATATAATACCTATTTAACTAATTTGATTAGATTAATGAAGTTAGGTAAGTTAGTTAATTATAAGAAATATGACATATTTTTCTAAAATACCATAATCATCTTTTAACACCCCATCTTCCTCTCTTATTTAATTATAGTTGAGGGAGTATCCATAGTGGTAATTTAGAAAAAATTGATTAAATATGAGAAATGAGTCTTATATTTAGACCAAAACCAACTCAACAATCGAGTCCTATGTTAAAGACCGGAGGAGTATCATTATGAAAGATAACTCTCCTAATTTTTTTTTTTTTACATTCTGTATGAATTTAAACATGAGATTTTGTACGGTATCTTAGGAGATGGATTCTTTTTCATTGGAACCAACACATATTGATTTTTTTCCCCAGTTATATATGCACACAAAATAGGAAAATAAGGCCAAATAATAAAAACTGCAAAAGTTATGAGTCTAATCTCATTTATAACCGTAATTTATTTGTCAGTCCGTGAGATGTAAATAGTGAATGATGAAGCTGAATCACAATTAAAAAAAAAGTCATAGACACATAAGGTTAGTGGGATTAATGGAGGAGGCGACGCAGATAAATAATAATAATAATAATGAGAATTTTAAATTAAAACCAGATAAAAATAGGATCACGTGTCGGTGATCTGACTCGAAGCTTTTTATTTATAAGGCACGAATCAGAAAGCACAATAGCGACCCAACTTTGGCGTGGAAGCTAATCATCAAACTCAGACTCACGTTTTCTCCGCAGGAAAGGTTGAATTGAAGTGAAGTGTGATGGTGCTTAGTACTGAGAGAGATTTGATGATTTGAAGTTTTTATTCACAAGAATTTGTGGCTCTGCTAAGTGCTAACTTTGGCTGAGGAGGAGGAGGAAGAAAAAGACGCATAATAATAATAACAACAGTGTATGGAAATTTGGAGCAAGATGGTGTTTGGCATGAGGCGTGTCTGGCTTGCTCTCTATGCTCGTCTCAGAGCTCGCAAAAATGGTATATATCACTTTGATCTTCTTCTTCTTCTTCTTCTTCGTTTCTCTCTGTGCTTGATCTCTGTTTTTTATATGCTCTGTAACAGACATGTTTCGAATTCTGTATGTGCAAGAGAAGAATCTCAGAAATGGTTCTTTGTGAACTCTTTATTAGGAACTTAATTGTGATTTATTCGTAGCTATAACATCCATCGCATAGAAATCTCCAATGGAGATACTATATCAGCAAAAACAAAAAACAATTCAGCATTTCTCTCACTCTCCCTCTCTGTACGTGGTTGGATCTTCTTCTTCTTCTTCCTCCTCCTCCTTTCTCTGCACAAATTGAAACGGCAGAGGTTAGTAGGGCCAGCAGACTGTTGTGTCATTGATTACTGCTCTGTTGCTGGCTGCCTTTTTTCTTCCTTCAGATTCTACTGTGGAGGCCACTACCTTTTCTGCATTCAGTGTATGCCCTGAAATTTGTACTTTGAACCTGGAAACAAAAAAGCAAGAATTATGGCCACACACAAAAAAAAAAAAACTGATAAAACTAGATAAAGAAGAAAAGAAAGATGCTTCCTTCTCTCTAGATTCGCTTTTCATCTGCCATGGTTTGTATAGATGCGTGTTTGTGTGTGTTTATATATTTGCTTTAGGTTCCTAAAGCTTCATATCCACTAAGCATGGCATTTAGAGATAAAAGGAAGCACATAAATTGTAGGTTCACAAATGCCTACATATCTACACAGAGTTATGAACAAATTTTCAACCATTACGCCACTACCGTTAATTTGTTTTCAAGTGGTACCCAACCTAAACTTTGACATAGGTTCTACATCTTTCTGTTCACTATGACCTAAAAGGGTTATTTGTGCCATAGCCAAAGTTATGAATTCATCTTATATGGTGATGATGGTGTTTGGTGCAGGAAGAGGGCTGCTGAAGCTTCAGGATGAAGTACAAACTTGTGGGTATCAAGATATTCAAGTGATGTGGGAAATGTTGCACAGAGCAGAATCTGATCTGCTACAGAATCATGATAAGCGCAAGCAAAATCCATCCTGGAGCGTCCTTGTATGGTCAAATCAAACTCAAGCTTCATCAGAATCTACAAATCACACTCAAGTTTGATGCTTTAGCAATCGGCAACCCACTGTTTTTATCTTATGGAATATGGCCACCATTGCTGAGGCATTAAACGTCAAGTTGTAGTTACTATTTAGTATGTATCAAAGAATTTATATTAGGCTTCACTCTCTTACGCTGCCCCAAAATGCCCCCGTGTGCGTGTGGGTCTCTCTCTCTCTCTTTCTCTCTCTCTCTCTCTATATATATATATTTAATTTCCTTTTCAGTATTTCTTGGGTGGTTCTGGTTCACATGTGGCTAAATCATGCAATAGTCGAAGCCTAATTTATCAAAACCCATGAATGAATCTTTTTTTTTTGGACCAACACATGAATGAAAGTTGGAGCATAAATGTCAATGTAGTTGTATCTAGCTTTATCGACCTCAAACGACAGATACTAATGAGCAAATAAGAAAACCAGATGTTCAGAGCTTCAAAAACTTGGAATAGAACTGCAATTAGGAAGATGCAACAAGCAAAGCAAGAAGCGATGTCTCCTAACAAACTTCCTGAGGCAAAGAGAAAATACAAGAAATTAGTAAAGGCGTCTATTGACCCAACAAACAAAAGTTAAAAATTGACGTCTACACGTCCTTTACAAACACCAAGTTCTATTTCTTCAGCCCGCTTCAATTCTGACCCATGCTGAAAATACTCAACAAGCCTAACATGAACAAATGTACTAAAAAGGAATCCGCCTTCTAACCAAGAGAATACATCACACATCATCCATTGAAATCGGTCTCCATGGATAGAGCAACAGGAATGCCATGAATGTTTAGTGATTTACCTGTACAGAGGGAGACACATCAGGTCTCACTCTACTCTAATAACCATGAAGAAGTACTCTCTGTGGGTCAAGTTGACCACTGCAATAACTGGAACGAACTGCAGTTATTTGTTGTCTCCCTTTCCATTCTTCACCGGGTTTTAGGGTAATTGGTTTTTCTACACATGCAGCCTGAACACATATCATGCGCTGGTAGTCCCTGTCCCCCAGATCAGGTATGGCCTTGGCTTTCTTGTCCCAAGGGTTCCAAACCACTGCAGAGAAAAAAAGACTACTGCCTTTACCCCAAAAAAATTTAAAACCATAGAAAATATGAACATTTCACCCTTCCTACATACAAAGCCAGTTTATTCATTTTAGAGAACCAGGAGCACACCTTTAATCTAGACAAATAACTTTAATCAAATATATTCCCTGGAGGAAACGTTCATTTCATACCAGGTGACCACATGTTCGTGGGGAATAAAAGATTGTCTAATATGTTCATGTGACTAACAAGAAAAGGTTGGAACATCAAATATCAAATTTCGCGATGAATCTGTGATCCAATTCTTTCTGCACATAAGGAAACATCTACTGCTAGACTCACCAGCATCTGGAAGTCCATCTTTCTTAACTACGTAAGTTCTTTTCCTTTCATGGTCAATGACAGCAATCTTTGTAGGTGTCCGTAAATATACTCTGTCCACCTTTGTCATCAAATCAAATGAACACATAAAGAAGAAAGAGTTACATGGTTGAACCAATATAATATAAAACAATTCAAGAAACCACTCCAATGCACATAAAACCCAAACCTCAGACTCAAATGTTAGTGCATCCCCTTGTTCAGTAAACCGTTGTTTATTTTGCAAGTTATCCAGATAATCTATTGTCTCAAGTCCTTCTACCCGCACTTCACTAGACATTAGCAACGTGGCAGTTAGCTTGCACCAAATTGTAGAAGTCACGGTCACAAATATCAGAACAAAATCAATTATTATGCTCTGAAAATGGAGAAGGTCAAATTGCAAAAAATTATGCTTAGAAAAACAAAGCCAAATCACTTCTGGAAGGGACAGAAAATAGTTTATCAGAAAATTAAAAATGATTTAACAGAATTGAATAGGTGATAATCAGTGGCTTTTCAAGCTGCTTGAGAATATCTGGCATAACTTAGGATCCAAAGTTCCCAACTACTTATAGCGGGGGAAATGCATGTGGCATACGCTAGGGCGAAATTATGAATTATTAAATATTAAACGATAAACAAAAAAAAGAAATCCTGGTTTAAGATAAAACCTGATGTCAGTAACTTGAAAATGTGTAAGATAGGCAAATGTGAAGGAAAATGGTTTTCCATCTGCATTTGTATTTCGAATGCGGGATGTCAACATCAAATCTCCCTGAGGTCCCAAAGATATCCTCAGACGAAACTCATATCTGCAAACAACGAAAATGTGATATTCCCTTAATCCATGAATCAAAAACTAAGTGCAAAGAAACTTAGAGTTTTGGAATATGAAGCTTCACAAGGAATAAAAAATTATGCAAGTAAAAAAGTAAAGACATCTCATAGAACAATATCAGGGTTCATTTTACTACAGATTATATAGCTAGCCGAACTTCTTGAAAAAAGCTCCATACCCTTTTGGCAGTGGGACCAAAAATGAGAGAGAAAACATGCTTAGGGAGCCTGGTATTGACATTCACATTAATATACATCTTATACCTGTGAGGCCACATCTTCGCTTCTTCTTCAGAGTTCCTAAGAATCAAATCAATGAAAGCCCTACTTGTGTTAACTGCTGACAATGGTGGAGGATTAGGATCTACCGTCCACAGCCTTTTCCTCGCAAATCCATGTTGTTCAAGAGGCCCATAATTTGAAAACTACATACGAAGCAGAGTACCTTAAGAGAAAAAAAAAAGAAAAAAAAAAAAGAACATGAAAGTATGGAAGCTAAAGAAGACATTCATACTTGAGGAAAACAAACTGGAATACCTCCACGTATAGCTTTTGGGGGCTTAAAAGTTGCCTGCAATTATTCGAAGGGATGAAATTCAAATAGGCAGAATATGAATGAAACTTTTTGGGAGATTGAACTCACTAATAGTTAGAACATAACAAGCTGTAGGAAACCACTTTATTTATCAGTTATAACAGTGTAACTCATCTTGAACTTTGTGCAAATGCATAAGGCTCACTTTAGTTTGAAAAAATGTAGAACACACAACTACATGCTCAATCTAAGTCATGCGGCTTATGCATTGTATAGAATCCAATATAGCAAATCGTACAATTTATGACTTGTGAACAACGAATCTTTCTATAATTTCATTATATAAATGTACATACCTGTCAAAATTAGTGAAAATGTGAAGGGAATATATAGCATCATCAGCACATTACTTTAAGCAGGCAAAGTTTCTACCAGAAAAAAGCTACACAACGATGAAATGCCATGCCTTACTACTAACAAAGAGCAACTCTTCCCCAAGTTCATTCTTCCAGGATGTAACTTGACCTCCAAATAGATACACCTGTGTTAAATAAAAGGAATATAATCCTATGGGCTTCAACATTTTTAAACAAATAAATACAATCTTGATTATGAATTTTAAATCATATAGAATTGCAAGCAAAAAGTCCACATTCAGAGTAACCCATGCAAAACTTAGGGATTCGTTAACATAAGGGAAGTGGAATTTTAAGTAATATAAGATTAAACAGAGCTCATCCTCATACCGTCGGAGAAAGATAACGGGTTCTTCATGCTAGTGGCAGGCATGCAAAGTATAGTGACAGAACCAGGATATAATTTCAAATGGGAAAGAAAACTACATAAAATGTTCAAATGCTTCATGATAATTGATTATCCACGAAATATTTACTCAAAAGAAGAAACATCTAAGTATAAAACTTTTTATTTCATTTTCCCGTCCGTCATGGGGTGGGGACGGGAGTAACAGTTATCAAAACTACGTCACATGTTTGGTTCAGGCATGTTCCCTATTCGATTTCAAAATTAGTTCCAGATCAACCTTTGTCGGAATCGTGCAACAGCAGCAAAAATTAAACGAAATATAATTTTGTTTGCCTCAGGAAAGCAATCACCAAATTTATTGTACATGGAAAACCAAAAGTCACATTTCCACTACGAAGGAATAATGCTACAGGATCATAAATCTCGGTGTGAAATTTTCGCAAAATACCATTGTCCAGAAGATGAAAAATGTAGCAACCCAAAGATAATGCAAATTGACAGATTCAGGGAATGCTTTAATAGAGGACGGATATATAGATTCCAAAACTCATGGGCCACGACCGCTGATCATAAATGCGAGAAATTCATCCAGAGAACAGAATAAAACCAAAAAGAAAATGCCCAGACAAGGACAGAATTCAATTTGCATAATCATACAGAATACAAGAAAAAAGCTCACCCGAGGGACCCACAAGTGGAAATGGCTAAAAGAGAAAATAAAACGGAAATTCTCGAATACGAACAACAAAATACAGAAGAGTAAGCACGAGGAGATAAAGAAAGAAGAAAATAAGCACACCTCAGCAGAATAGCCTCGAAGTTCTCTGAGAATGACCTTCTGGAGGCCATTTGCATCCGTTCGGTGCTCCACGAACACCATTTCCTTCGACGGCTCCCGCGACTTGTCCCTCGATGACGTCTCCATGTCTCTCTCTCTCTCTCTCGACCTTCCTTCACCGTCCGAAATCCCGAAGTAATTTCTCAAAGCACATATATATATAGAGAGAGAGATCATGAAAAAAGAGAATAGATGATCGATTCAAGGGGGGATCTTAATGATTAAAATTAGGAAGTAATAAACACGTTGATTCTGATTATCGATGATTTAGCTTTGGTGCATTTCCCATGATCATGTGACGTACGTAACTTGTCCTTTTTCCGTTAAACGACGAATTTCATGTCAGCTTCCCCGCGGTCCATTGCTGATTATTTGTCGTTTCTTTATTTTGTCTGCTGTTATTATTACTACTACTTCTGTCCCAATTACAATATTTGATTTGTTTTGAGTGAGCATTCATATATTCTTTTTGTTCTATCAAATATTACTCTCCGATTTTAAATATAAGACTCATTTTATAACACTATAAAATACATCTTACATTAAAGCCAGAGGGATAATATTTGGTTTTGATAGTTTATTTTCATTCTAGTTTTTACATTTAAAGTCGGAGGAATAATATCTGGTTTTGATAGTTTATTTTCATTCTAGTTTTTGTCTTTAAAATTTTAAATTATAATTTTTGGTCCATAAAAAGGCAAAATAATTCAAATTCTTATTAAAATATTTTTTTAGATACAAAAGGTTTTTTTTTTTTAAATATAAGGGCTAATATTTTGGATAGAAAAAACTTGAGAAACCTAAATCTACATTTAAAACTATGGGGACTGGTATATTGTGCAGGTTCATTCATTTAGGAAAAACATTTTTATGGCTGACATGTCCTAGAACAACCTTTTCCACTGGGTTGCTTGTTTGTTTTTGCTTTAGATGTTTCTTCGTTGATGTATTCTAATTTTTATTTTTTTATAGGGAGTAATATCAAAATAATTAAGGACAAATTATAAAGACTAAACAGCACATCAACTCATATAATCAACATTTTACCTTCTGGTGAAATGTTATTTTTTATGTAAGTTGAGTTATAAATCTACCCATTAACATTTTTCACCTGTGCCTGCCTGTCGCCTGATACTGTGAAGTTCTTTTTGGATCTGACAACATGAACGCGTTTCCAAATGAAGGAAATTGTCATATTTGTTACCTGTAATTAACAGTGTGTGGGGCTCACTTTGTGTCTAAATATCATAAATTAATAGCATTCGCTACCTTAATGAATATGACATTGTCAGAGAATATTCATCATATGTATTGATTAGTTACGCCCAATGATGTCACGATTCGATTTTATGGAGACAATGGGTCTCCTCAGCCATCAACTTTATCTGAATGTTCTGATAACTTGGACACCACGTAGCTTCACTTGATCACCGTTGCTCTCCATATTGAACCAAATTGCTAAAACCTTTCCATCAATATCGCTTGACCAATGCAGTGAATGATTAGGCCGAATTGCAAATAACTATTACTCCTCCCGTTTTTATGCATCTGTTTTGGTGTTTGTTCTTTACTCGGTTTGGCTTTTTTGATTCTGTTGAGTTGTTGATACTGAACCAAGTGTATGGTTTTTGCTTTGAGGATTAATGAAGTTTTTTTAAGTTTCCGAACCAAAAAAAAAAAAACTATTACTCCTTCCGTTTTTTTTAGAAGTAATCCTAGATACAATTATATAAATAGAAAATTCATGAAAATTGCTTAAAGATAATAAGTACGTAAAATTTAAAGTTCTTTTTTTAAAATATCTTTATTTATGGGATAGAAAATATAAGGAAGAGAATAAAAAATTATTATAATAAAGATAATTATGAGAAAGAGAGAATATGTTATGGAAATAGATGATGAATTGAAAAATAAAGTAATAAATATATTGAGTATTAAAATAAATAATTAATAGGACAAAATAGAAAATCTGCTACAAAAATTTAAGATAACTTATAAGTGTTGCTTATATTTAGGGACGATAAAAAAATAGTAGTTGTAGTTTATAAAAAGAGATGGAACAAATAGTTAATAGTTTGCTTTGCGCTATCCCTATTTTCACAAAAGTTAATTAACTAAGGGAGGATTTCAAATAGCTGCGCGAACAGCACAAACATTATGAATTTTTAGTGCACCTCAAGCGTCAAAATGAAATTAACTTGTGCAGCTGAAAAGATATCATTCTTCTTACTTTAGTTGTAAATAACATTATTTCTCTTGTGAATCCCTCCATCTTCGTTGTAAATTCTCATATTTTACTTGTGTATCTTAATTTTCTGACTTCTTGTGAACGCTAACTCTATCTGTAAATGATCTTACTCTAGTTATAAACAGTCTTATTTATATAATGAATTGCTTCATTTTGATTATAAATTACGTTATTCCACCTATAAATCCCACCTCCTTGACTTGTTGTAAATGCTAGCTGCCTACTTCCACGTATAAATAGCTTTATTCCAGTTATAAACAGTCTTATTTCTCTTGTGAATCATACTAATACTTGTTTCCCTTGTAAATAACCTAACTCTAATTGTAAACAGGCTTATCTTGATTGTGAATTCTCGTGTTCTATTTGTAAATTTGTTTTTCTTGTTTCTATGTCTGCAAGATTATTATTCACTCTTTATTCTAGGAATTAATTTCACTTTACTCCCAAAAAGGTGCAATGAAATTTCGGAGATATATGAGGCAACCGGCAATAAAGTTCCTGCAGCAGGGTTAAATGAAATTCTTCCTTCACCAACTCTAGTTTTCATTAAATAAATTAATTCTATGATTACCATTTAGAATTTTTAATATTCCATTACTTTAATTTGTTCCAAATTCTAAATTGATTTCCTAACTAAATATTGTGTAAAATTAATTTTTTTGCCAACATGTAAAATTAATATATAATTATTAGATTATTCATGATTTTGAAAAGGTGTTATTTTTATCATAAAATTATTTCTTAAATAAATATGTTTTGGATGGACGTAATCACATCTTATTAATATATTAGGATTTTTCCACAATATTTATGTAATGTTTTTTTTTATTTGAGTTTATGTAACTAATTCCATTAAGATATGAAATGAGTTTAACTTTTTTGTTTAGAAGGAGAGTTTAATAATTATTAGTCGTCATAATATAAATTGTGCAAAAAATGCTTAATGAAATGGATAAGTGTGGAGATTACTATTTTGTTGTAATCGAGCAAAATGATACTCTTCTAATTGTATTTATAAGTCACTTTTAATATATTTCATACAGACCCAGGAAAATCTTAAATTTTATTAGCTCTCATTTAAAATTCAACAACTTTTCATTTTTATCCCTATTTAATATACATTATGTTTCATGTAAACAAAATCAACACAATAATAAATAAAAGATAAAATTGTACATCCATATAAAAAATTTCTTAGTATCCTATAAATAAAACAAAAAATGATTTTCCTCTCTGTTTTATAAATAGTGCAGATGAGTATTAATTAGCATGAAGAAGACAAACCTATTATAATTGTCAGTAGGCAAAAGAGAGTAATTCCTAAACCTATTAAAATGCATGAACGACATTTGCTGCGAAAAATAAAAAATAAAAAATAAAAAAGATATGGTCAGGTTGATGACGGGCAGTTTTAGTTTTAGTTTTTAAAACAAAATTCTATAAGTACGAGAGAATGTAGGAGGATTTGTTAGTACAATTTAGTATTTCTTTTTCTTTTTTTGATGAAATACAATTTAGTATTTCTAAGTATACTGTAATATTTGATTTTTTTTTAAATCATTACAATTTTTATTATTTTCTTTAAATAATATTACTTTCTATAATTTTTATTAATATTATGGCCGAATTTTTTATTAATAAATTATTCATTTATCCCATATATATATGGGAAAATCGTAGAAAAAAAAACTTAAAAATACGAAATAGCAAAATGAGTATTTAAATAAATAAAATTGCTATTAGAGACCAGATCTTAATTTATAATTATGAGATAATGGCTAAAAGAACAAAATATCCCTATTTGTTTGAAAAAATGACTCTTTGCTCTGCCCAGGGTAGCTTCTGATCCAAGGGAGGTATTGATACTAGGGGATTGGAGAGGTCAAATACGGGACTTGTACTCAGTACCACTGCTCGGTTCTATGCAATCGTCAAACCACAGTGCGAAGAAACAAAATATGATGGATGTGTAGGGGTGGATTCTTATTGTATACTTGTATGCTGCATTTATATTTGATTTGAGTTGCTTCTTTCAAAATGCTTTCTTGTATAATGATTATGATCGAATATAATAAAACCAGAAGGGAATTTAACAACTATTTTGAATTGAAAGTTGTTTGTTTGTCTTCTGAAACAAAAGTAACTTTTCAAGCCTATCTGATCTGAATAGCTGCATCATCTCATGCGTGGCTTCAATTATAATGTGACATACCTCCGGATGAGCCATGTTAATGAACAAGCAAGTTCAAGGTCTTGACTAAGGTACTCTTATTGCCAATGGAGTCTATTAAAAGCTAGGGCCTATTGAACAGCTTAAGTGATTGATATACTATGTTATTGGTTATAATGGATGGAATTGTGGCAACACTGGTATTTTATTATTGGCTATAAGAATGCTGTTATTTCCAAGGAAAGACTTATTATTTTAATTAAGTTAAATTGTTAATTAACTTGTTTATAATTGAAAATAACAAGTTTTTGCTGAGAAATAATAAGTTCAGTATATGGATTTAATAAATTTATAATTAAAAATAACAAGCTAACTTAATCGAAAAGCTATATTGGTTTTTTGTTATTGACCATGAAAATGTTTTTATTTTCAACGTAAGACTTGTTATTTCAACTAAGCTAAGTTGTTATAATTGAGTTGATGAAATAAAATTATATTGTAACTGATAATTTGATTAAAAGTAAATTCTTATTGCAAGTTACTATAAAAAATGAATTGTAATAACAGGTCATGCTCCAGAAGTTCATTTAGATATGAGACAACTAATTTATTAATGTATATAGGCTCTACTCTTCTAAATTTTTGTAACTTGGCACTCACAAGTTGTTATTTGGCATGTAAGAGCAATTTCTAGTAAAATTTAAGTTATTGTAAATATATTTTCAATATTTGTTATTTTTTATATTAGACTTGTTATTAACATCTAAATTGTGGGAATGATTTTAATTTCTACTAAAACTTAAATTATTGTGAATAATTTTTCAACACTTATCATTTTCTATACTAAACTTGTAATTGACAACTAAATATTAGAAATAATACCAATTTTTATTAAAATTTAAATTAATGTGAATAATTTTTAACACCTGTTATTTTTGACATACAAGTGAGAGGAATATTTATATGGGTCCGAGATTTGCATTGATAAGTGTAATAAATGGATATTGATCCATAGAATGTCAAACACATGTTCTTTTTCACAATGATGATCTTAAGTGACCCCATGATTCTTTTTCTTTTTCTTTTTTATAAACTGTCTTACCCTATTCGAACTTTTGTTCCTTTTTTTCAGGTGTCACTAATTTTTGTTATGTGAACTTGATTGTACACGCACACGCACACATGTATATCTCCATAGTACATCGTAGTGTTATGACACATGACGAATTACAGGCAAAAATTGAGCCTGATGCAAGGTAGCCAACTAGGAGGAGTTAGATCTTGTTTAGAATTTGATTTACTTCTCTTTTCGTTTATTGGAAAGAATAAAAAGAAATTAAAAAACACCTCTCCTTTTCTATTCGAAAAAATAATAATAAAGAAAGTCAGTAATCATAGTAATTATTGTATTAAAAATATACAACAACAAAACTTTATTTTATTAAATGGGATCAGCTACATAGATTGTATCACGTTATTGAGGTTTATCAATGATCAAATTTTCATATATGTTATTAATCGAAATGTTCTTTTTGGCATTCTTCTACTTTTTTTTTTATAAGACTCTATATTGTGTGATCAACCATTCTCATTATTATCCAAAGACCTTCTTTAAACATGACTAAACCATCTCAAACGATTTTCTATCATTTTTTCTGCAATAGAAGTCACTCCAATTTCTTTTTGTACATATATTCATTGCAAATCTTTTTTTTATATGACTATACATTTACCTCAGCATTTTCATCTTGACTACCCCACTTTAAACTCATGTTGTATTTTTAAAACCCAATATTTACTACTCCAATCTTTAATATATGATCTAATTGTTGAGTTGATTTTGGTCCTAATATAAGACCTATTTCTCATATTCATCAACTTTTTCTAAATTATCCTTATGGATACTCCCTCAACCATAATCAAGTAGAAAAGGGAGGGAAGATATTAAGAAAGATTATTATGGTATTTTAGAAAAAACATATCATATTTTTTATAATTAACTAACTTGCATAACTTCCTTAATCTAATCAAATTAGTTAAATAAGTCTTATATTAAGAATCAAATAAGTATCATATAGCATTCAAAATTAATGCTTTCTAGTCTGGTTTTAGAAGTCTTCTGTGAGTTCTCTTTTTCCGTTTTGGTCTCATGACCCATTTTCAATTTTTTTAAAAGAAACCCAATAACTAATATTAATATTATTCATAAAAAGGAATAAGATAGCTCTTCTCAATTGCTGTGCAGTTTATTATTCTTTTTTATCTCCACGGGTTTTGTACACTATTTTTAATCTTTCAATATTTTTCTTACCATTTGAACAGATTTTAAATGTTAAAAAAATAAATACAACCTCTTTAAAACAAGATAGGAACCGAGTCATTCTAGCTATATTCCTTTGGTTTTTAAGTTAGTTAATTATCAGAAATATAACATGTTTTTTCTAAAACACTATAATTATCTTTATTAATATTCTCTCTCCCTCTCAAACTTAATTATGATTAAAAGAGTGTCAATAAAGATAATTTAGAAAAATTAATAAATATGATAAATATGTTTTATATTTAGGATCAAAATCAATTTAATAATTAGGTCATATATTAAATAAGAAAAGAGTACATATAAATAGGTCCGCCACTCGCTTGAACGCGTCCCAGAAAAGACAAGATGGCCGTCACTGTAATTTCCAAACGAGTTCATATAATTAGCTTAGATTAGTTTGGACAAAATTTTGCCAAGGCTTGCGCCTTCAGGCAGATGAATCGTCCATCAGCATTCACTAATGCTTGACGAACAAAACAAGAATGTTCTGCTGCTGAGGAATGATTGATTCATTTAGTTTTCACCGCTGCCTATGGGAATAAATATTGCCCAGTTGGGAATTATTACTACACTCGGCGCAGAAAAATTGCCTCCTATACGTTATTTTTCATTTCATCTCTTTATCTTTGATTTCTGCTAACTATGAACTTCCACATTCAGTTATTAATATAAAAACTAGTTTGATATTTAATTTTGTTCTAAATATAAAACCACAATCTATTTTGTCTCTTATATTTATCTATTTTTTCTCAAGATAATCTTTGCAATAGTTACATATGTTAAAAGTTTTATAAAATGGTAATTCTAACTAATACACATGATTAGCAAAGTTATTTTAGAAAATACAATACATATTTATTGTTTATTATGAATAATTAATTTAACTAATTTTTTAAATCTATTTAAATTAATCAACCAGCTCTAATATTAAGGATTGGATGTAATAATGCTTGGACACTTCTTTTTTCTAAGCACAAGTATTTTCTTATTGAAAACAATTCTGCTCTAGATACTGTCTTATACTAAATATTTAAACATTTCTAAAACTACGGTTTTGACAACCAAAACTTTTGGGGAAAAAAAACCAAGACCATGGTTTCCTCAATTTCATTCAAACACCCATATTTGGATTAAAATCAAACATGAAACCTTCAACCAAACACTCATATGAGAGGGATACAGTGGGTTCTACATGTCAATGGGACCCACTATAACAACCCCCCCGCCCTCCTTTTTCTTCTCTGCACCTTGTTCCCAAATTCTCACCCAACCATATCTTTCTACAAGCAAACTCATAAAAAAAAAAAAACAAAAACAACAGCACAAGATATCTACTTAGAATCTTATCAACATTGAATCCTTTTTTTTTTGGGTGAAATTATAAACATTAAGTCTGTACTAATGTAGACTATGATAAAATTCATATTACCTACAATGTAATTAAATACAAATCCTTAGTAAAAAGTAATCAAGAAAACTTTGCAGTCATCTCCCTATTCTGCTTTCTTCCTGTACTTTTTTTTGTTAATATAATCTTTAGTCTTTTAAGTTTGTCCTTATTTTGATATGAGGTTCCTCAAGTGTCAAACCGTATGTTTTGGTTCTCAAGGAACAAAATGATCTAAGTTTTTATTAGATTATATTGTTATAGATGAAAAGAAGCTTGAGGAATCAAAACTTATTGTTTGAAACTTGAAAGACCAGAACCAAAATAATAACAAACTTGAAGGACCAAAGTTTGTATTAACCCCCTTTTTTTTCTTAATTTATTGAAAATGTCCATGAAGAACTTAAATTTGAGTACTCCTAGGCATACGCTTCATGAGCAACGATAACACCTCCAAAATCCTTCCCCAAATATCCATTCCGATAGTGCAATATCACACCTAAGATTTACAAGTTAAAAAGTTACATTCATTACACAGAATTCTGGTTCTGAAAAATATAAGTACAAAACCGCATGCAAATTGATACAAACCTGAGCGTTTTCTGATTTCAATCTTTTAATCTGTTCCTGGTCACTTCGGAGCCTACATATCACAAAACCAAGGTTTAAGACCTATTTGACATCATATCAAATAATCGTGTATCTTAAACTCATAATACAACACCTCTTATTCAACTCAGTTATTTCATGAAGTAGCTCTTTCTCTCTCTCGTGAGATGCTTCAAGCTGCAGTAGTGCATAAACCAATATCTCCCGTTGAGTAATACAGGGAAAGGTGAATATCAAGTCATTTAAGCAAACTCACAAAATATTAAAAAGGCATAGTTCCCAAGAAGTGAAGGGAAATTATCTTTGGAAGGTAAATACATAGAGCGTGTATCCCATTGCAAGTCCAAAGGACAGTCATGCTAATTTATAGCTGCAAGAATGTTTCATGATGGCTAGCACAATCAATATTTGCAAACACTGAGAACAGTAATCAAGGAGCCAAGAGGCTGCTCTTCTTTATGTGTCTCACAGTTAAATGATCTAGCACGCCAGAAAGAACAGCATAAAGTTGAGCAATTTAATTGACTGGCTATAATTGTTAGTCCACTCAAGGTTTGAATTAGAAATTTTTCCTCGGCCTGATGGAGACAACCTGAACCCCAGGAACCTTATCATATGCCTAAATTGGAATCTGTTACAAGTGTAATTGACTACTCAACTCTTTTTCAAATGTGTTTTCTCGTTGAAGTTCTTTGATTTCAAACCTAAAATCAGTTAGTGTCACTATCCAAAACCGGCTTCAAACTTCCTTATACCGTAGCCAAGCGCTGATAGTTCTCAGCCAGATACATCCTCATATAGAGTTAAATGATTTCTAATGCTATTTGCCATTAAAATTCATACCAAAGATTTCTCCATTGCCGAAGCCGGTGATTGGTTAGATGCTCCATCAACTGCACGATTGACAGATATGATAATCTAAAAATTATGTACATAAATAGAAACCTTACAAAGGAAAAGATCTGAAGAAAACTTCAAATAAAAGGAACCTGTAGAGTCACCAGCGGTTACATGTTTCATTAAAAGCAAGATAGTGTCCTATATCAAAAGAAAAGTAAGATAGTGTCACCTTATTTTTGACGTATATAAAGGTAGTTATTATAGATACTAGCTGCAGGAGTTAGGACCATATGAATATGATTGAACATACCCTTTGTTCGATATTTGCTTGCAGCACACAAAGCAATAATTGGTAAAGCGAAGAACCAGAAACATTTGTTGGTGTAGCCTGGGATGTCGTTGATAGTGGTAAAATTGAAGGTAAAGGAGTTACATTGTGCGAGCTAATAACCTACAGGAACCAGGTAAACGTAAGATGTTCAGTTAATTAGAAAGCCATGTCTGCTTAGATATTGGTATGTGATGCTAACTCAACTTCATGTTAAGAGGAGGTTTTACTCATTTAGGTATAAACATAAGCTGCAAATCAGACTCCATTATTGCCTAAGCCAAATGTAAATTGAAAAGGTTTACTCATTTGGTCATTTTATCCTAGTGGGAGCTGAGTTTTCTCTATAAAGCTGAAGAGGTTAGTGAACTGGATGTTGATGAACATCTAATAATATTTTCGCATATATCTATCACTGCTTTCGGACATGATAGACCGAGAGAACATGGCAATTGAGGTATCCGAACGGCCTGTTTTGATCGAAATTTAGTAATGCATGATGCAAAAAACTAACCTGCATGCTTTGACTCTTTTGCAGAATAGGAGTTGGGGCCACCTGAAAGAAAACTTCATTTATTATTTAGTCTTAAGGAAAGTCGCGTCATCTACATCAGGGTATTCACCTTTTCTAATTCAACATTCTCAGATGTAACCTTAAAACGTCCTCTCTGCTGAACAACTGGCACCTTTACTTTCTCATCAGTGTCGTCCAAATTTGCAGCTGCATATTACCAAAAAAGTAAAGAGAGAGATTTAGCTGCTGCAAGGACATATTTATTTTTAATAAGACACGGGAGTCATTTTTGCATGGCTCATGAGCTGCCAGTTAGATGAAAGAGAAAATAGTTTGTGACATTTCCTTGAACTTGACAATCAAGTCATGTGACCAGTGGAGTAATATGATCATGTACCTTCTCCTGACTGTGGTACTGTTGTTGCACTGCAACTTGAAACGCTATGGGACAGATTATGTATCTTCTCTCTGTCATTCATATAATAAATAAGCGTGAATAATGATAATACAACTGACCATTGTCAATTCTCACCTGTCAAATCAATGGAAACACCACTTATTCGACACAGTTTGTCAAAAGCCAGTAAAATAAGGCATAAGAGACCGTTTCCCAAATTATTGACGAAGGTAAAATTCATGATTTAAATTTCTATGGGATTCTGTAAATGAAATCATTTACATGAAAAAAATGACAAGATATTTTGTCGAAAGTTCTTTTTCATTAAAACTCAATTACATTGAATTTTATCAACTTTCCTTCGCAACATCAACAAGAGTATATAATAACTATCTGATACCTGAAAGGCAGAAGCATACTACCAATGATGCACAAAACCATTCAAATTAAGAAGCCAAAATGAAGAAATAAATAATCTTAATTGAATATGATAATCTTATTTATTAAACCTGAAATCTTGTAGTAAAAAAAATCTGAAATCTATGATAAATACTCCTTTCTCCGTTTGTTTCTGAATATAATATAGCAATGAAATGAACACATGCAGTGGCCATAAACACCAAATTGAGCAGCGTAAGATATCGCCATGTTCGCAGTACTTAATTAGAGTAGTTTAAGGTTTGAAGCAAGAATGAAACGAATATATCTTTCTTAGTTACTGACTCCAATGAAAAGAAGAAAGATAAAGCAGTCCAGTCTCTTGAAATTAAGTTCGTGTAGCCAGAATAAGGAGCATATGAAGCTCGGTCAAATATATATAGGGCATAACCAGAAACATCGTAAGACATCCAAGCCAAGGCAGCACGAGATTGATAGATCAGCACCCAAATGTCCAGCACAGACATGATGCTAATGACTATTGCAACAATCTAATGCAATTTTATAAAATGAAAAGATTTAGTTGAAACATTTACATTTCCCCACGAGCAGGTGTGTGAGTAACTTCAGGTAAGATGCTTGATGAACATCTTCTGTGGTAAGAATGAGTAGGCTCCACCTGTCTTCCCCCATTCTCCACATCACATTTTTCACTAAAATTATGGTCCACTACATGATCTTCAAGACGCGGTGAAGCACTCTGTGATAAGTTGTGTTCATGGCTTAAACTGGTGATAGAGGCATCATTAGATTTTTCACTTCTAACCCTGGATTGAAAAGATATGATTAATTTATTAGCCCCTTGCTGATTCTAGAAGTGAAAACAAAAACAAAAACCTTAGGCACAGGCAAAAGCCTGCGATGTTCTCAAAACTCTTACAACATGATTTCCATAAAATAATTTACTGCATGTATTATCATACTTGGCATCAGTTGTTGTGAAATCTACTGCAGGCACAGGAGCTGATTGATTTCGCATCTCGTCGTTATCTTCCTGTGAAGCATTGCTATTAGAAACTACTCAAAGAAAATATTATTCTGCTTGCAAGGTAGAAGAGAAAAACAAGGGGGAAAACGAATATTAAGTGCGGCAAACATTTTCCAGCTGCATTGAAAAATTTATGAATACCATGTCAGTAAGTTGAGATTGGTTTGCACGTGGTGATTGCTTCTCTTGCACATCATTTGGTGATGTGGAATTCGAACTTCCTCCTGGATTGATTTCAGACATTGCATCATCAAAATCCTGTATCTAAAAGACATAAAAAATACTTTTAAAATTCAGGAATCACAACTTCATTGTGAGAGAAAAGATAAGGTAGCTTGGGTACCAATGAAGCCTGAGCTTTCATATCTTCAAGATTGAAGTTCCAGCTACTAATTCCTCGCTTGTATTCATTCTACACAAAAAGTCAAAAATAATTTTGTTGAGTGTTTGCTTGCTTGCTTGCTGATAAGACAAAAAAACAGACACACACACACACACTACCTGTGATATTTCCTCCTTCTGCCCATCAGGAATTTGTTCTTTTGCAAGCATATCTTCTTCTTTCCTCTGCAATAGAATGACAGCCCTATAAAACATTATACAACATGGAAGCATGAAAAAATTATTAGGCAACAATATGCAACCTTTAGGGCTTTGATGCGATCACCTAATGCAGGCAGCCCCTCCAAAAGCGTTCGCGAAATATAATCACTAGAGCGAGCTCGCTTAAAGAAGGAATTCTTTAGCAAACTGCTTGCAGTGGGTCGTTTTGAAGGATCTTTTTCCAAGCATTTAGCAATCATCGTCCTAAATGACTGACAACATAGAAGAAAGATTTCAGGATAGAAGGGGAAAAATGGGTTCAAGGATCAAACCTTATTGAAAACGGAAACATAGGACGTAGTTTTAGTATATATTCAAAGTAAGCCGACCTGAGAGAACTTCTTATCTCGTTCATAATCAAGGCCAGGCGGTGCATTTTGCAATGTCATAAGAAGTACCTGAACATGTAGAAGGTTAAATTCCTGAAAACATCATTCAGGGTTCAATGAGAAAGGTTCCTGTCTTAGTAAGCACACCTTCATGGGAGGATACTTTGAGAAAGGAGCGTGACCATGGGCAAGCTCCAGTGCTGTTATACCAAAAGACCACATATCTGCTCTGCAATTACAAGAGTACGATTTCCAACTGAATGTTACCACCAGGAAGTGTGACAAGAAAGGGAAAAATATATAATCATCATAATCACTGACTTGAAGTCGTAACCATGCAGTTGCTCCATGACTTCAGGTGCCATCCTGCGACCAAAATGTTATACAGTTTATTTCCAACACTCATGATCATAGATAAGCTATTATATGACATGAAAAAAGAAGAAATGGCAACAGACTCAATGCACATGTGTATATTGACTACATAAAAATTGGGCAAATTCGGAGATAAAATCTGCGAATGCATCAACTTCCAGCAGTTCAAGAGAATCATTTTGAATATCAACAGAACAACAAGTTACCAAAAAAAAAAAACTCAGATCATACCAGCAAGGTGTCCCCACAAATGTATTCCTTGTACGTTGCCTGTCACCTGAATCAAAAAGACAAGCAGATACACCGAAATCCCCCAGCTTGATTGCACCGCGCGCATCAATTAGAATGTTCCCGGCCTATAGAAGCAGATACAAGTTGGTCGAAGGCAAGAACCTAAAACTACTATAATATTGGCCACAAAGCAAGAACTTTGAGTCAAATGCATGTAATTCTTTTGACCTTCAAAATTTTAAAATGGACCCCAAACTGTATTTTCTGTGTTATCCTGCTGTCAATAAACCAATTAATTTACTATCGCATGAGTGACGTGTAAATTAAATAAACCCACAAACTATTTGTTTTTGTACTAATAACTCTCCAATGTGCAAGAGAGAAAAGGGGGGTGGGGGAGAAGGCAGAGGAAGAAAAGCTAGAGGTCAGAGAGTAAGAAATAAAAACAGAGGAGTTTATGCAGAAAACAGAGGGAATAAAAACTGAGTAGTGCAGTTTATATTGTCACATGAATAAAAAATAGAGGAATAGTTCCGTATATAGAGTCACTAAAGATCCTAACCGCTATAATCCTAACTATTATTTCTAAGAAACTCTTAGGGTCAACTTTCGTATATGATATTATTATTATATAACAGTGCCACACTTTTGATAGTAAAATAATGAATTCTTTGAAGGCAGGCAGTTATTTGTACTTAGCCTCTAGTTCGAGGGGTTAGCTTCAAGGTCTTGAAGGTCGGAAAATTATACGCATATGGCCTAAAACAAAAATACCGTGCATTTTTGGCCTATATCATAAATTGTAACAAGGTCTGAAAATGCAACTTTAATACTCACTTTAACATCTCTATGTATATGGCCATGATGATGAAGGTACTCTAAACCCTTCAAAGCCTCTCGCAATATTGTTGCTATTACAACCTCCTCAAAGCCATCTGGGTAGGCGGCTTTCAATATGTGAAGACACGAACCACCAGCCATATATGGCATGATAACCCATAGATTATGATCGCTAACAAAGGAGCAGTGTGATTTGAGGACATTAGGGTGGTCAACCAAGGTCATGGTCTGTGCTTCACGAAAAACATTATTCTGCAGAGGAAGTATCATTTCAAAGACAGTTTAAAGGTTAATAAGGAGGATACACAACAAATTTGTCAAATAAATTGTACATGCGTCCTAGAGAAAGAAAAATTCTCTTGAGGCTCAAATTGCAAAGTATCCAATCCACCAACAGCTAAGACTATAAATAAAGGTTCAGAATGATTCTCTTGAGGTAAAACCATCTTCTTCTTTCTTTTTTTTTTGTTTGAAGGAAAGGAATAATTCATTCAACCCAAAAAATACACTGTAAGAGGAAGGCACCAGCCTAGAGCAAAAACTAAGAGCGAAACAAAACCCTATGACATCTAGGTTACATTTATTACAAAGTTGTGAAGGGTTTCATTTGCATGGAGAGTATGAGTAACTAAACAGCAAACGGTAGAGGTAATATCATCTTTAGTGTTGTGTAGTGCTGTACACGTATTTTGCTGTCTTTCATATAATGGTAATACTTATGTAGTGCTTCTTCCATGACTGAATTATACTTGTGCCATTATCTAATATGTCCTCTTGTAACCAAATAATTTACAACATACATTGTACTGTATTGCATTAATACACAATTTTTCCAGATTCACCTCGGGGCATTGTATTCTGTTTTACTATTTTCTGTGACTCCAACAATTAAAAATTTGCCAACCATTCGTTTTGTGTCCTGGTCATACACCCGGGGGTGCCTTCCCCATTCTATGCTAATGGTTGACGCAAAAAAATGCCATGGCAAACTCGACAAGAGAAATAGTTCTTGTCAGAGAAAGCTGGGTGCCCATGATTCTATTTTGAACAGATCGGATAAAGTATGTATGTTGAACTCGTTCCAAGCATTTTACCCTACTGGCAAGTAGTACCGGCGGGATTATGGCGTAATGGCACAAGGCGAAAACTGCCTAAACCTATTAGTAATGCCATACCATAGCATTGAAAAAAGAAGAGGCAAGAGGGAGGTGAGAGCGAATTACCAGATCGCAGTTTTCTCGCTCAAAATCCAGGATTTTTATGGCAACGATCTCATTAAAAGTAATGCAACGAGCACGATGTACGTGGGCACTTACCCCCTGGCCAATCTCCTCGAGTAGTTCATAATTCTCAGGGCCAATGGGGTACTTCTTTTTCTCCGTATCCTTCATCTCTCAGACAAAAAGATTCAGAGGGAAAAAAACAAAGAGGAAGAGGAAGAAACGAAAACGAAAGTCAAAACACTTTAGCTTCGAATCCAGGGACGACAGCTACCACAAAATCGAAAAAGTCTGCAACGTGAAATCCAGAATTACGCATAACGAAAATGGGAAAGAACTGCGAAGTATTAATCAGAGAACGAGGAGGAGGAATCCATTGATTGAAGGAAAGTGATCAAACAAAAAAAAGGGAATGTATTAATCAGCAGCTCATATGAGAGAGGGAAAGAGAAGGAAAAGGACGATTGAAAGGGAAGGCATCGATATGAGTGATGAGGATTCAGTGAAGGTTGGTGGTGTTTCCAGATTTCTCGTGACGATCCAAGGAATTTGGCTTCTGATTTTAAGAATCATAAAAATGGAATAAAATCTTTGGGATTTTCTCAACAGAAATGATATTTTCTGAAGTTAATGCGATAAGAGAGAGATGAGATTTGCGGGCTTATAGGATGGCCGCAGAAGCAGAGGGAAGGGAGTTCGTTGTTGGAAGCGAAGTCCCGCCACTTCTTTTGCCTCAACGAACTCCGTCCTCGCTCCCACGTGTCCTGCCATTTCTGCTTGTCGTTTTTTTTTTGGCCATTGCTTACCTTTATTAATAAACAACTTAAAGAAATTAGTTTGATAAGTCAAATAAATTAGTTAAATGTGACAAATATAACAGGATCAACCTAAAATACCCTTCTATATACTACATCTATTGTCTTAAATATAAGAGATAGTAAAAAAAATTTAATTTAGTTTTAAATATAAAATTTTAATCTATTTTATCTTTTATATTTATTTATTTTTTCAAGATTAAAGTATATTTTTGATCTTTTAACTTTATACAAAGTTAATTTTTAATCCTTCATATTTGAAAAGGGCATTTTTAGTCCTATAAACTTAACATTATTAGTGGAACTAACAAAAAATGTTGAAGAGTTTTTACTGTAATATACTACCTCCGGTCTCTAATATAATACCCCGTTTGACTTTTAGTTTGGTCCTAATTATAAGACCTCAATCCATTTTGTTTCTCATATTTATGTATTTTTTTCAATATAGTTCTTCTAATAACGATAGTTCTAGCTAATATACATAATTAACAAGAATATTTTAGGAATGACAACACTTATTTATTACAAATAACTAACTTAACTTACTTCCTTAATTTCCTCAAATTAGTCAACTGGGTCTTATAATTAGGACCGGAGGTAGTACATAATTAACAAGAATATTTTAAGTAAGATAATACTCATGTATTACAAATAAATTATTTAACTAATTTTTTAATATTCACAAATTAATTATCTAACTCATATATTAAGAACCTGAGGTAATATTATACTACTCCAGTCTTTAATATAAATATAATTTGAAAGTTGATGTTAATCCTAAAGATCTATTTCACATTTTTATCAATTTTTTACTAATTAAACCTATTAATAATCTATCAACAATAATGAAGTAAAAGAGGGAGGGAGAAAATTAAGTAAGATGATTAGGATATTTTAAAAAATATATATCATATTAACTAATTTAACTAACATTCTTAGTCTATTCAAATTAATTAATTAGATCTTATATTAATGTTTTGCTTGGATGGGAAAAAAAGTTGGAAGGAAAGAAAATAAAAGGAGAGAAAATAAAGGGAAGGAAAAACTAGAGAGAATGTATTATCATCTCTCTTGCTTGGATATACCAAAAAAAATAGAAAAAAAGATAAGCACATATCAAAATGACTAAAATATCCTTATTAAAACATATCATATTTAAAATTAAATCAAATTAAATAGTGCAATAAGAACATTATACTAATATTAGCGTCATGAAATAATTTTAGATTAAGTTATTTGGTTTATATATTTTTTTCATAGTATTATATTCTACAACCAAATTATTTAATAAAAATATTATTTGAAGATAAAAATAAAAAGCAAATATTTTTTAAATATAATAAAAAATAAAGGGAAAATTAATTCGTAGGTCCTTATAATTCATTTCAATTTTGAATCAGGTCCTTATAATTTATTTCTTTTGAATAGGGCCCTTATACTTTGATCCGTTAAACCCATCCATCCTCAAAGGTTAACACCGTTATAACACCATTAAGTTTTGATGATGTAGAGGCTGACTAAACTGACATGTGGATAAAGAAACACGAGTTGGCACCACATGGATTAATTTTGACGACAGGCGGATAATAAGGTGATTAAGAAGCCTTTAACTAAGACCATCGTGATCAGTCGATTCAAGAAACCATCGCATTCCCGCCCTCTCGCTAATTTTGCGGCCAGTTGCAGAACGTTCAGTTTTGGTTTTCATTGGGTGCAGAGAACGGCGGCGACCAAGATTATCCAGGTAAAACTGCATTTTGGTACTGTGTCTCGATTTGTATTATTTGAGTAAGGCTGCGTGTTGGTGCTTTGCCTCAACGTGTTTTATTTTATTTCTTGCTCTCCATCTCTCAAACACAGTTTTTGAATTTCGAGCAGGTAACCCATATTTCATATCCATTTGTAAAGGTCCCATCTTTGATCTTCTATAAATTTAAAAAAAAAAAAATAGTACCCTTATAAGCATGTGCAGATTTTCTCTATCCACAATGAGAAGAGAACAAAGATGTTGATTTGACATAATAAATTTTGAATCTTTTTTGAAACCGAAACTATACATTGAATATTAATTCCATTCAAAATCAATAAAAATGATTTTGGCTTTTTAAAGTTATAATTTTTTAAACGCTTTCTACATTCTATGTTTCTCTCATTAATTTTTTTTCTTTTGTTCTATCAGTTTAGTATACATGGAACGAAGGAGGGGAGATGACGTAGGCATAAAAAATGGGAATATAAATTTAGGGAGTGGGAACGAAATAGAGGTTGAGGATGATAATTTGACGTGCCCGCAAGCTGAGGATAGTGATGATGCAGAGTTGGATGATGATTGTTTTCATCAATTTCTTGATGTTGATGTTGAGAATGTGGGTCAAGGAAGTAGGGGTTCTAATCATTTGGCCGAATTCGAATCCGTGCATTCAGAGGCTGTTACTGCTTCTGAGTTACCGAACAAGAACACGTTGGCTATGCTTTCTGATCTAGAAGATGATGAGTTGTATGAGGAGTATGCATGTGATGACAAGGACAATAAGGCAATAACAAGGTATGAGAAATACAATTGTGCTCAAATGTGCAAGGAGTTTGAATTTAAGTTGGGAATGGAGTTTAATTCAGTCCAACAGTTTCGAGAAGCCCTCAAGAAGTACTGTTTGCTACATGGGTATGATGTTAAGTTTATTAAAAATGATAAGGAAAGATGCCGAGTTAGGTGCAAGAAGAAGTGTGGTTGGTTGATACTTGTAAGCAAAGTTGGTGGCTCAATGACTTTTCGAGTGAAAACACTTGGACCAAAGCATACTTGTGGGGTAACATTTAATTCAAGGTTAGCCACATCAAAGTGGGTTTCAGACAAGATAGTAGATCATATGAGAATGAATAAGAATTTGAAGCTAGGAGATGTGGTTTCAATAGTAAAACAAAATTATATGGTGCAATCTTCAATAAACAAGGCATTTTGGGCCAGGAAGATTGCAAAGAAAACAATAGAGGGAGACCACAAAGAAGAGTACAACAAGTTGGTAAACTTTTGTACTGAAGTCAAGAAGAGAAATCCGCAATCTACATTTGCTCTTGTCACTGACACTACTTATTATGTAGATTGCCCACGTGTGTTTAAGAGATTGTGTGTGTGCTTAGAACCAGTGAAAAGAGGTTTTATGAAAGCATGTAGGCCAATTATTGGATTAGAATGTTGCTTCTTTAAGGGCACATACGGAGGTATTTTGTTGGTGGCTGTAGCTCGCGATCCTAATGATCAATATTTTCCTCTAGCTGTGGCAGTAGTTGAGACTGAGAACAAAGATTCTTGGACATGGTTCTTAAAACAATTGTTTGATGATATTGGTAGTATGGCTGAAAAGAAATGGGTTTTTATCTCAGACCAACAGAAGGTAATATGTTTAGTTAATTTTTACACTTATTTAACATAAATTTCAAAACTGACAATTATGTTTTAATTGTAGGGATTGGTTCAAGCTTTTGGAGAATTACTTGAAGGTGTTGAACATAGATATTGTGTAAGGCACTTGTATGCCAACATCAAGTCAAGGTATGGTGGTGGAACGGTGATTAGAGATGCAGCGAAGGCCACTTATCCCCTAGCTTGGAAAGAACTAATGAAACAATTGCATAATGTGTCAAAGGAAGCGCATGATCACTTGATGATATTTCCTCCATCTTGTTGGACCAAGTCTCACTTTTCAGAGTATTCAACATGTGATATGATAATGAATAATATATCAGAATCTCTTAATAGTCGGTTGTTGGAAGCAAGAGAACTTCCCATTGTAGGTCTTCTTGATTGGATTCGGATTTATTGGATGAATAGATTTGCAGAAAATCGCATCAAAGCTGCAAAATATCATGGGAAGGGAATTGTATGCCCTCGTCCCCGTAAGAGACTTGACAAGGAGGTTGAAGAGTCTAGAAAGTGGATGCCAAGATGGGCAGGAGACGACAAGTTTGAAGTTCAATATAACACTCAAAGATTTATTGTTGATCTCAAAGAGAGGACTTGTGAATGTCGATGGTGGCAGTTATCTGGAATCCCTTGAAGGTAATTAGATAAATTGTCTTATGTGGTTATAATCTGAAAAATTCAATATATAACTTGTTTCTTATCTTGCAGGCATGCTATTATTTGTATTTACGAAAAGCGTGAGGACCCTCATACATATGTCAATGAATATCTTACTCTGAACAAATATGAAGAATGTTACGCTCCCATTATACAGCCCATAAATGGAGAAGAGTTGTGGGAACAAATTGAATCAGAGCCTATAGATCCTCCAACATTTCACAAACGTCCTGGTAGACCTAAGAAGCGACGAAAGAGAGAGAAAGATGAGCCACAACCTCCACACAAAATCAGGAGACAAAATACAAGCATCAAGTGTAAAGCTTGTGGTAATTATGGTCACAACCGAAGAACATGCAAGCAACCTTCAATAAAAAGCCCACCTCCAAACCATTGATGTACCCAACTCTTTTGGAGTTTTAGACTTTTAGTTATACTATTTTAGGTTATTTAGTATGCAGACAATGTCTTCAATTTGCTTTTGGTTGTGGCAATGAATGCTAATTTAGCATGTAGACGTTTATATCTTTCTTGCTGGATATTTAGTATGCAAACAATGACTTCAATTTTAGTTCTAATTTTTCTTTTGATTGGAGACGAAAGACTGGATTTATTATTTCATATTTGCTTTTCATGAAAAAATACCAATTGAAGTGGAGGGTTTATTCAAACAATAAGAAGCTAGATCAACTATCCAATCAAATGATATTGAGCATGTTTCTCATCTCTTCTTGAAAAGCCCTTTCCATTTCATAATAATATCCTCTTAGTTGATTGAAGTGCTTGACTAACATGATTCTGTATCCAGCAATAGGACCTATATTGATTGTAAAATATAAGTAGGCGCATGAAAAGGAATACTCCAAAGCAACAGGGAACATAAATAAAGTATCCCATAAAAAATTTGCACAAGGTACATGTCATAGAATAGAATATTTCCATCATTCAATATTTGGAAATTTAATTAGACAATTGATATTAAAAAAAATCTTCAACAAGCACAACTTACTGTTTTCTTCAGAGAAGTAAGATCCCAAATGTTGATATTATCAACGAAGAAACCAACAATGCGAGCAAATAATAAAATCGGACATTTTAATTTATATATGAAACATGACTCTTTAATTTTCCTCTTCAATTGTTGATTTACATATGATTACTGTTTTCACCATTAAATTGTATTCAACGTGCGGCTAAGTTGGGACATCATCCTCTTCAATATAAGTTTTGACAATTTCAATTTCTTACCATGATTTACTTTCTTAATCTTCAATTGCTAACCAGTTAAGGACTTAAGCTCGATAGTATAGGATATGCTAAATAGTACAGGATCCACTGGGTTTATATCAGAAGTTTTGAAAACTCAATTAAGATCCACCAAGAAAATAAAACTCTCGCGGCAAGAAAATTAAAGAAGAGAAACAAAAATCTAGCAATAAGGGGTAGATTAAGATATAAGAATGGTTGAGTAATACTTGACGACATATAGCACCGTGAATTTTAAAAGTACGTTCCTTGTATCATGACTGCAATTGAAGGCAAGGAATTCCACGGCGGGAGTCGGAAACTGAAGACCCAGAAACAGTAACCCTTGATTTTTTTTCGTGTTTACCTGAAAGTTTTAAAAGTAAAATAATTTTAATATTATATTTTTAACATGTCAGCTAGCCATGGAAGCATACTATTAGCCACATCATCACAACTTAACGGTGTTATAACAGTGTTAACTCTTAAGGATGGATGGGCTTAACAGATCAAAGTGTAAGGGTTTGATTTAAAAGAAATAAACTATAGGGATCTGATTCAAAATTGAAGTAAACTATAAGGACTCACGAATTAATTTTTCCAAAAATAAATATGAAGACTCAGAGAAAGAAAGGACAGTTATGGAAATCCTGTTTTCCTTTCTAAATCTCTTTATATATTGAAAGAAAATTTGGAGCTCAAATAAGATATGGGGTCCACTTTATTTTTTTTCCTACTTTTTCTCCTTCCTATATTTTCTCTTCTGAAAATTCATTTCTCCTCGTGTTTTCTTCTTTAGGTTTTTTTTTCTCAATCCAAGCAAGTTAACAAATTAATTTACAACTTAGCAAATTAATTTTAAAAAATTATAAATACAATAAATATTATAATTGGAACCGATTTCAACCCCTAGTTAATTTTTAGAGTCCAACACAATAAACTGTTTTATGATAATATCAATTTTTCCACTTTACTTTTTTTTTTTTGGTTACGTTTTTAATAACATGAAATATTGGCGCATTTGTCGCGATACTATTAATTATCTATTTAAATATGTCCTAAATCAAATATAATGTGGATGAATTTGTGCATATGAATTACAATTATTTTTCGGGGGTATGATTTCTGTTATTGTTAAATATTTTTTTGGTGGAATCATTTAACGTTTTAATCGTTAGATGGTTTTAAAATTGAACAAAACTGATTGAGTCAGACTCAACCAAATCCAATTGAAAATGACGCTTAGCAACTGTCCAGTTCAATAATTACCGGTTTTTTGGGCCAAAAACTCTATTACTAGTTTGATTTAAATTAATTATATGAATGTGAAATCCTTAATGATTTTGGGCCAAATGATTTGATCAAAATGCGTAAGCTCGTGAGAGTTGCTTATGAGATAACGAGTTGAAGATTTTAAAATTTATTTAATCAAAATATGGGTGCATGTTCTATAATGATTAAAAAAAAAAAACATCACGGCATGCTTTTTTTAATTTGGATCATCCATATTCATTTTTGGATTATCCAAACTCAATTTAAGTTTTTCTGTTTTAAATAATTTTTGTTTTAATAAATGAAAATTTTTAAATAAAAATAATCTTATATTTAATACTTCTTAAAAAGTAATTTTATTGTTGGAATATTGCAGATTAAAAACTTCAAATTCATACCATTTAAATTAAATTTTGAATTGTTCAAATTTCATCACACAACAAGCATATATTCATTGTGATGATAAGTATTAAAAGAGAACCCATCAAAATGAGTATTTGATTGATTGCCTCATAGTCATAGGTAATTGATTGCCTTCATGAGTATTACATTTTAAAAATGAGTATTAAGATAAATTTTTAAGACTACCTTACAAGCTTTCAAAATTGATTATCTGGGCTATCTGCATTTTGATTAAGTCAACTTATCTAAATGTATGACTATAAATCAATTTCATTCAAACTCTGTTTTACCTAATATTAATCCAAACTCAGTTTTATTTTTAAAATGTAATATGAATTCAAACCTAATTTATTTGAAATTGCATCCCCCCCCCCCCCAAAAAAAAAATCCTTTAACATGACTCAGATCCAATTCAATCAAACTGACTTCACCCTCAAAGTGAGCAAGTCTACAGTTTCAACAAACTAAGTGGTTTGGTCCAATTTGATTTTGGCCCAAAACAAAGGTAAGTCAAAACCTTTTTCCACTAGAAAGGCATGAGTCAATATGTGAGGAAAATCATTCAAAAATATTATTCTCGCACATTTTTTTCAATATTTTGTTTTTTTTAAATACGATAATTAGTGGTGGATAATTTAAAAAATCCAAAATATATTTTAACATATTTTATAGTGTCTGCCTAATAAACCATTTTTTATAAGATCTCTAATCTCATGTCAAGTGACTGGAATAGTTTGGCACTTTCATGTGTTTCTGATGAATTAGCCTAAGTCATTATTGACAACAAAAGGCAAGACAGAGAGAATGACAAAGCATTCACATGGTTAATAGCGGGGTTATACATAACTATAAGCTAAAGCAAATAATACAATCTTGAAGGTAAACAAGATTTCTCAAGTCCCTCTCAACCAGAGTGATGGCTCGTAAAGACTAAGCCTCAAGGAAAGTTGCATTGAATTGTCCAGCCAGATCACCAAGATGATGACAAACGATTTCACCTAATTGATTCAAGAGATCCTTAGGCACAGCATGAGAAATTTTCTGGTAACTACCCCCATAACATAGCAAACGGAGACATCTGCACACGAACTTGTGACTAGTGGATGAGCACGTGGTTAGAATTGAGACTTGTCCAGGCCGTCAAAGTAGGGATGATCAAGTGCTGCCTTTGCAGAGATTCTCTCAGCAGGGTTATACTTGAGCATTTTCTGCAGGACGCCAATATCACATTCAATTCAATTAGTCCCATAATGTATCTGAATAAAATGGCATGCTTGAATTCAAATGTGTAAATGCTTGACAATAAAAATAGATTTTTTAGTACATGTATCATTGCCTCCGGATATTGGTGTTCATCCAAAACAACAAAATCGAGACTGCAAATTTCTCGTTGACTGATAGTAACTTATTTTGTTATAATATTTTGTTCCTAAAAGGCATAGGATGCAACAGTCAAAACTTGGTAGTTGAAACAAAAACACTAACCGAAAGAAGATCTACTCCTTCAGGTCCCAGAGACGGAACAGCTCGCGCCAAGTTTTGTGGTTCCCACCGGGGGTAGACATGCCAGTCCCTCAAAGAAGTAACTCCTGGCCATTGCTCCTCATTTGGAGTACCCAACAACCTTCAACGACCACAAATAAAAATGAGGTCAACGTTGAAGTTGAATTTTGGGAAGTAGGAATCAACCTTGATGAAATGATTATCAGAGAAAGGCGTGACAAATTGCAATAAATACAATACTGGCCATTAGAAAAAGAATTGTAAAAAGTAAAAACAAAAAATTTTCTGCTTTGTCACATGCTCCAGGTCTGAAAAGTACGGCATTAGTAGAGCGATTTCCAACCTGAATATATTAAGGAGCTGTTGGAACTCAGAATCCCCAGGAAACAGGGCTTGCCTTCTCACCATTTCAGCTACAGAACAAAATTAAGTCAGCCAAAAGCTATAAAAACTAACAAATTGGCGATTAAGAAATAATGGCGAATTAAACATCTGTTGGCAGAGGTAAAATAAAAGATGTGTATAGCGAATTAGCAATCCACGCACCAAAAATGCATCCAACGGACCACATGTCAACGCCAGTGGAGTAGTGAGTGGATCCCAGCAGAACCTCAGGCGCTCTATACCAAAGGGTGACAATCTCATGCGTGTAGCTCTTGAGAGGGACAGTGAAGGCTCTTCCAAGCCCAAGGTCAGCAATCTTGAGAATTCCCTTCTGCTGGTCGAGAAGAAGATTCTGGGGTTTGAGGTCACGGTGGAGGACGCCGTGGCTATGGCAGTGGGCAACTCCCTTGCACAGCTGGAAAAGGAAGCTCTGAATGAGTGAAGGAGCAAGAGGCCTGGGGTTGGGACCCTTACGGTGAGAATCAATGTACTTCTTAAGGTCAGTATCCAGGTACTCAAAGACCAGGTAGAGGAGGGGCTTGGTGCTGGGCTGGCAACCAGCAGCCACAGTTTTTGAAGCCTTGTCGACGTGCTCGACACAGAGCAGGCGGACAATGTAGAGGGACTGTGAAAGCATCTGAAGGAGGGAGATTTCTCGAAGAGCAGTAGGAGGGATTCCCTCCTCGTCCATTTCCAGACGCGTCTTCTTCAGAGCCACCAGTTGCCCAGTGGCCTTCTCCTTTGCCTTGTATACCTTCCCATAAGTCCCTTCTCCGACCTTCTCCAACTTCTCGTATTTCTCCATTGGCAGAAATCAGCTCCTTCAACTATTTATCAACAAAATGTCAATCAAGATTCATTGAATCAAATATTTAACAGCCTCTCATATAAAGAATTCTCCTTGATTCTAACTCTAAATTCTAAATTACACAATATCTAACTAATCACCATCTTACCAAATCCCAAGAATCAAATTACCACGGAATCAACGAAATTAAAAAGACACTAAGACAGAGTTAGTGCTGGTAACGTCCGATAATCACCTGCTTTACGTTACCAATTTTATCCTTGTTTAGCTGGAGAAGGCACCAGAAGAAAGAGTTCGATCAATTACTTTGCAAGAATTTTTTTTCAAGTAAATGGCAAACTAATCAAATAGGAAGTCTAAAGGAACAGCAAATTGAAAAGATCAGTCCAATACAACTGGCTCAAGTTCAAGCAAAGAACATACCCATGATTTTTGAAAAGGAAAGAGAACAGTACGAAAACAGAAAAGACGATAATGCAAGTCACCTCAGATGCAAGAAGTCTAAGTAAGAGGATTCGATCAATTAGAGGATTGATCAGAGCGACGACTGCGATCGGAGATTAGGGCAAAATAACAGACAGCAAATAATGGAGAGAGAAAAGTTGTCAGGCAACGGGCAAACGTAGATTTGTGTCGTTTTGCCGCGCCTCCAGTGATTTCAAAAAACTTTGAACTTTTTTTTTTTGGTGTATTACTCCAATCAAGTTGCCCTGCTTAGAGAAACGTGAGACCGTAGATATATTTATTTTAAAAAAATTCACACACGCATATAAATATATATGAGGAAAAATCTCAAAAAAAATTGTTAAATTTCAAATTTTCAAATAAAAAATTACTATGAAAATATGTTGTTATTTGCTTTTTAAACATAGTCATTTTTTTTATAAATATAGTAACTAATACTGATTTATAATTTTAAAATTCAACTATCACTTTTTTAGGATTTCCCCTGTTTATAATCATCAGCCATAGTAAACTTAGAAAAGAAAAAAAAAAGATTAAGGTATATTCAGTATCAGAAATATTTTTTTTAAATAGATTCAATACCCCAAAATATTTTGTAATATATCTAATACAATGATTTTTTTTATATGTATCAAATATCCTAAAGTATTTTTTTTTACATTGATGCTAGATGTACCGAAAAATTTTTTGAGCGCTAGATGTATCTAAAAATATTTTAAAATGCTAAACGCACTTAAAAAAAATTCCAAGATACTAAAGTACTACAAAATATTTTAAATTGCTGGATTTACTCAGAAAAATACTTTGGAATATGATGCACCTTAATCCAAAAAACCTCTCTTGAAAGAATTTTTCTCTTTTTCTTTAAAATATTTTTTTCCCTTTATCTAAGATATCTATATTTTGTGCATTATATATTTTGTACTCTGCCCCACCTTTTAAGTCCGGGTTCAAATATGCGAAAGCTGAGAAATATGTGATATGATGTGAAATAGATTAATTTTCTGCCCAAGATATAATTTGTATCAAAGAATCTTTGTAACAATCCCTCCTAACGGAGCAAAAACGGAATCTTTGTAATGGACATCTAAAAAATGCCGATGAAAAAAAAAGAAAGAAAGAAAGATGAATAAATTACCAACTTAAATTAAATGTTTCAAAATGCCTAAGCGTAAATATCACTAGAACTGTTAAGCCAATTCAGGCTTAGCAACTGCATAAGCGTAGTTAATGAAAATTAGCAACTTTTGTTGAAAACTTGTCCACTCTGCATCAGAAGAAAACTTGAATAATCTAACAAATAAGGCTAGAATTCACAAAAACTACCTCTATCATGCAGAGAAAATTCACAAACAAAAATAAATAAATGAAGAAAACAGATATTTAAAACATATGTGCAGAATATGCCGGCATCAGTATGCAGGCAAGGCTCTGTTTTATAGTTGAGACAAATTTTTGAACACAACTATGAAGTTGAAATAAAGTAGCCAAAGACCTTCAAGTTTTATGAATCCAAACTCCATGAGGAACAATTGAGATAGTCCCAGAGGTTCATATTCTTGATTCTATCTCAATCTGTCACTCTTAGCATAAAACTATTGCTGTTAAAGCACTGTCTAAATGCAAAATTTGGTTCAAGAAAAACAAAATTAACGCAAAAACTAATAATGTCACAAAAGCGTGGCAAACAGACTGTGGGAACTAGACGATCACCATAAAAGATGTATAAAGTCATGATGACATATTGATAATTATATAAGTGAGAATAAAGAGTCAATTACATTTTACCACCAGGAACCAAAAAGGGGAAAATACATCGCATTTCATTTTGCGTGCTCATGATGGCAATAAAGAAGTGGCTGTAATATGATAGCAAAACCAAAAACTTCACGTTAGCAATTCAAACTCAATCTGAAGTTGGTATGTGGGAAATGGAAATGGTTCCCTTTCTCATAGTAAAATCAAGGGTCAATTCGGATGTAGCATCAATCAAATTAAAATCTCAACAGATCAAATGCTCACTACGGCAAATTCAATTCACCACATTGATATTTGAATCTATCTCTTTCGGGTTCAATCGTTCGAAAACACCAACTATAACAAGGATCACAAAATAGTTCCCTAATTCACCCATTCTATTAGCAAAGATCATAATTCATAACCCTCTCTCAGCCGCAGTAAAAAAAATTTTCCCCTGCAATACTTGAAATCTGGTATAAAGTACAGTAAGCACGGGTCAATCCGGTTGTAGCATCAATCAAATTAAAATCTCAACAGATCAAATGCTCACTATGGAAAATTGAATTCACCACATTGATATTTGAATCTATCTCTTTTTGGGTCAATCCTTTGAAAACACCTATAACAGGGATCATAATTCATAACTCTCTCTCAACAACCGCAGTAAAAATTGTTTTCCCCTGCTATACTTGAAATCTGGTATAAAGTACAGGAGGTAGAGGAAACTGACCGCACGAAATAATAAGAAACACAGATCTACCTACGAAAAAAACAATGAGTAAGCAATAAACGAATAAAATTAAAACAAGAAACCGTCGATGTTACTCACCGGCGTATATCGGAGGAAAAAAAGAGGGCAAAACGCCGGGTGAGAAATCAATGGGAAAGAGGAGAGAGCCTCGAAACTTGCATTGGAGGATTTATCGATGAAGAAGAGAGAAATGGTGACTGTGAGAGCATATATAAAAGATTCAAAGTTTCAAGAGGCCATGGACGCGCCGAGGGATTTCAAATTTTCCACGTCACGCTCAAACGGCTCTGCTCATAAAGGGTAAAGCTAAACCTAACCGAGTCAACCGGAAGTGGCAACTAGGGCATACGGGTTATTTGCAAAATGTTGCTTATTATAGAATATCTTATGGAAGTAATTTTTGGTTCCAAATATAAATTCTTCTTCTTTTTTTTTGCCAATTCCAAATATAAGTCATTAATTGTTATTTTTTAATTTTTCCTTATTATTAATTAAAGGTTAGTGTTTATAAGTTCATTGAATTTTGTGTTTTTCTATTTCAAGCATTTAAGTTGAGAGTAAACTTGATAAAAATTATCAATTTCGAACAAACTGAATGCTATAACTTCTATTCCTTGGTATAGGAGAATTAGTTGAGAATGCCCAGATCAGAGGGAGTATATACTGCCTCTAAATTATATATTAGTGTATAAATTTAATAAATTAGTTTGGAGAAATAAAAATTATAAAAGACAAAATAAATTAACATCTTCTATTTAAAACTAAATTCATGTTAAACTAAGGGTGTGTTTGGCTCAATAGAGGAATGAGAGGGGAGAAATTTTAATGAAAGGGAACTGGGGAAGGAAATGAAAGGAAAGGGAGGGATTTTAATATTATTTTGTTTGGATTAATATAAGGGGAGGAGAGGAATTTTAATGTTACTTTGTTTGGCTTAGAAAGGAAGAGAAAGTAAAATATTTTTGTATGGACAACTTTACGCTTATATTATTTAAGTTGATTTATGCAAACTTTATAAAGTAATTAATAAAATATAATTATAAATAATATTTAATATATGAGATCAACTTTTTATAATTAGCAAAATTAAATAAATATTATGATAATGCATAATTAATAACTACTATATATCCAAGAACTATATAATTATATTTATATCCAAAATCTGATTTAATGAAGGTCTAATTTGAGTTTTTTTTTCTGCTTTCATTTTTCTATGTGTTGTTGATACGAGTAGTCAAATAACTTTTTCAAAGACGATATAGATGACTTATTTGTATGTTTTTGTTTTGAATGCTTGATTTGCATTTGGAAATTAAAATATATTCGATAGCAACTTTTTTTTTTATATTTGATAGCATATAAGTGAAGGAAGAGAGGCATGATTGAATTTGAATCCATAAATATGCCAAATTACATACAATTCGGTAATGAAGGGTAACATAGGATTATTAGAAAATAATATGGGCATATTAGTCAATACAAGCCAAAATATTATCCTTTTTCTTCAAATTCTCCCAATTTTGGAGGGGAAGGGAGGTTTTTCCTCTCCTAAAATTTTTATCTTGCCTACCAAATGAAAATGATTAAAATCCCTCCTCCTATCTTTCATACCAAACGGATCATAAGTATAAAAATCTCAATTCTTTTTAAATATAATTGAATATTTGAATTTAAATAATGATATTAAAAAAGTCACCTTAAAGTGGACCCAATATGCTTAAATTTATTAAAAAGAAAATAATAAAAAATACTTATTAAATTTTAAATGACAAATTAGTGATTTTGAGATTTTAATTCATGAGTTGTATACAAGATAATTATACAAAAATATAGATTAATTAATGATTCAAATTACACACTCAAAGTAATTGAAACAAGATAGGAAAATTAGTTGAGAATGCTCGATGAGAAGGAATATAGACTGCCTCTATATTAGAGCTGGTAATACGGGTTGGGCCCGCAGGCCTAGCCTGCTAGCCCATTAAGTTACGGGCTAATTTTTCATATAATTCCTAATATAGTTAAAATATTTTGACCCTCAAATTCTACATAAACAACTAAACATTGCTTCTTTCATATCATTGCATAAGTAATTAAACACTTTATATATTTGTGATTCTGTGTGTAGTTATACGAAGATCATCGTCCATCTTTTATTTTTTTATTTATTTGTTGCATCACTATAAAGCCTTTATAAAATTAAATAAACACGTGATACTTATACATTTATACATAAAATATCTACTTAATTAATTTGGATAAGAAAACTAAATTACTTTGAATAAGAAAACTAGTTAAATTAATTATTTATAAAAAATATATTAGTCTTTAAAAATATCTTCTTAAATTATAAATTAATCTTCATTTTATTTTATTATAATTCACTACTCAAATTCAAGATTTGAAACCTAATTTTAACATTTCAAATTAAGCTCAATCTATACTAATAATAATAGTTTTTATTTTTAACAAAAGAATACCGAGGTGGGCTCGGGCTGGCAAAACACCAACCTGCACCCGCTTTGGGCCGGCACCACCGCGAGCTGACCCCGTATCCACACTGCCAGCCTGCATTACCACCTCTATTCTGGATTATATATTAGTATATAAATTTAATAAATTAGTTTGGAAAAAATAAAAATTATAAAAGACAAAATGAATTAACATCTTATATTTAAAACTAAATTCATGTTAAACTAAGTTTAAAAATCTCAATTCTTTTTAAATATAATTGAATATTTGAATTTGAACAATGACATTAAAAAAGTCACCTTAAATGGACCCAACATGCTTGAATTTATTAAAAAGAAAATAACAAAGAAATACTTCTTAATTTTTAAAATGACAAATGAGTGATTTTGATAGATTTTAATTCATGAGCTGTATACAAGATAATTATACAAAAATATAGATTAATTAATGATTCAAATACACACGCAAAGTAATTGAAACAAGATAGGAGAATTAGTTGAGAATACGACCAGAAGGAGTATATACTACCTCCAGATTATATATTAGTATATAGATTTAATAAATTAGTTTGGAGAAAATAAAAATTATAAAAGACAAAGTGAATTAACATCTTATATTTAAAACTAAATCATGTTAAACTAAGTATAAAAATCTCAATTCTTTTTAAATATAACTGAATATTTAAATTTAAACAATGATATTAAAAAAGTCACCTTAAATGGACCCAACATGCTTGAATTTATTAAAAAGATAATAACAAAAAAAATACTTCTTAAATTTTAAAATGACAAACCAGTGATTTTGATAGATTTTAATTCGTGAGTTGTATAAAAGATAATTATACAAAAATATAGATTAATTAGTGATTCAAATTACACACGCAAAGTAATTGAAACAAGATAGGAGAATTAGTTAAGAATGCCTCTAGATTATATATTAGTATATAAGTTTAACAAATTAGTTTGAAGAAAATAAAAATTATAAAAGACAAAGTGAATTAACATCTTATATTTAAAATTAAATTCATGTTAAACTAAATATAAAAATCTCCATTCTTTTTAAATATAATTGAATATTTGAATTTAAACAATGAGATTTAAAAAGTCACCTTAAATGGACCCAACATGCTTGAATTTATTAAAAAGAAAATAACAAAAAAAATACTTCTTAAATTTTAAAATGACAAACCAGTGATTTTGATAGATTTTAATTCGTGAGTTGTATAAAAGATAATTATACAAAAATATAGATTAATTAGTGATTCAAATTACACACGCAAAGTAATTGAAACAAGATAGGAGAATTAGTTAAGAATGCCTCTAGATTATATATTAGTATATAAGTTTAACAAATTAGTTTGAAGAAAATAAAAATTATAAAAGACAAAGTGAATTAACATCTTATATTTAAAATTAAATTCATGTTAAACTAAATATAAAAATCTCCATTCTTTTTAAATATAATTGAATATTTGAATTTAAACAATGAGATTTAAAAAGTCACCTTAAATGGACCCAACATGCTTGAATTTATTAAAAAGAAAATAACAAAAAAATACTTATTAAATTCTAAAACGACAAATTAGTGATTTTGATATATTTTAATTCATGAGTTGTATACAAGATAATTATATAAAAATATAAATTAATTAATGATTCAAATTACACACGTAAAGTAATTGAAACAAGATAAGACTTGCTTGACAATAACAGCCCAATACTATACGCCCACTGTCGGTAGCGCGGAAAAGGTGGCTTTCATGGACCATGAGCAAAGGAGCTTCTTCTGGATTGTGTTTCCTTTTCATGTTTTATACTATTTCCTTGGTATAATAGGACTTAATTATTAAATTAATTTTGATATTAAATATAAGATTTATTTTTTATATTTATTATTATTTTTAAATTATCTCTATGATATTTCTTGACCATAATCAAGTAGAAGAAAGAGAAAAGATATTAGAAAAAATAATTATGGTATTTTAGGAAAAACATGTCATATTTCTTATAATTAACTAACTTACTTAATTTTCTTAATCTAATCAAATTAGTTAAACAGATCTTATATTAAAGATCGGAGGAATATATCTTAACCTGAAATCAGGTGAAATTTTACACATGGTCCAATGATTTCCTTTTCGGATCTTTCCACTATTTTCCCCCCAAAATTCTTACCCATGCAATGTTGCCTCTCCGGTCTATTTTTTTAAAAAAAAAAATTTTAAAATTATTTTTATGCATGGAAAACTGAATCTTTACTAAGATTCAGATTTAATGCTCATTGTAATGCAGTTGAACACTGCTTGCTTATTGTTATAATGAAGTCTAATTGGATGATAAAAAATGAAAAAAAAATCATATTATACATATAATAGAATAAAAAAATATAAAAACCACAATACAATGATATTAAATCTAGGGAGAATTAGAGAGAAGGACCAATAAGGAGTGGTATTTATAGGAGAACGTCATAAAAATTAAAATTATTTAAAAAGACTAAATATTCAAAGATAAATTTAAAAGTACCATATTATCCCTATCCAAACCTCCTACATTTTATTTTTAAAACTAATTCAAATTAATAAATTTTACTAAATTAAATCTGATTTCTCTC